AGTTTGTCTGTGGTTTAATTTTGTTTGTCCAATGTTGGTTACACCCTCTTAACTGGTCTGTTTTGAGCATGCACGCTCACTCATTTCAATACTTTTGGATTTGACATCAGATTTTTTTGACACATTCACTGTCACCATGGGCCTCAATGATTGGGCAGTGGTCCTAGATTAAAATGAAATTCAGGCTAGAATGATTTCAAACTAAGCTGACTTGTGTTTTTTTGTGTAACAATTATGATGGTTAAAAATCATATCCAGGGATGAATTTTGTAAGCTTTGTTATAAAATTCTTAATTTTTGTATTGTCAGGTGTATGGTGAAGGTCACAGGTGATATTACTGTATCATTTCCAGCCAGTGTACTTCCGCTCATTTATGATGTAGAAAATGCTCCAATGCTTAGTTTCCTCATACGTGGAACATCATGTCTTGAGCAGATCTTACCAAACAAGGCTTTGATTAATAGGTATGTCTGAAACTAACTTTGCAAGGTAAGGATACATTTGTTGGAAAAAAAAATATTAACCCCAAGTAAAAATTATATTATCTGATAGACTTGAGATATGTGTTGAAAAAGCCAATTGAAAGGAAAGAACTGTCTAAAATTTATTATTATTTGTGTTTTGTATTCAGCAAAGGACAGCTAAGTGGTGGTGATGGTGTCACTTATGATTTTAATATGGCTTCTCTGGCTGATCATCTCAAAAAACAATCTGAACAAGGAGCAAGTACCCATTACAATATTGAAATTATCAAATATGAGGTAGGGATGAACTTTTTTCGCTATCAACCCTTTACACCCTAACATCAGTTTGCATATTCTCCATGCTGTTCTCTAGAAATTTTCTGAGGTGCTGCTGAGGAGAAAGTGTTTTACAATCAAGAGCTTCTTTAGTTATTGATTGTTTTCTTTATTCTCATGGGTGATATTTTGAGGAGAAATTGGATGCTAGTCTTTCCTAGGGACTAAATGGAAAATAGCTAAATTTCAAAACTGTGACGCTATTAGTTAGTTTTTTAAGTAGTGATGTGTGACTTCTATATCCCAAATTTGGAGGTTTAATGCATTGATTCTTTATTTTATGGACAGAACATTGAAGTTATTAATTTGTTGAAATATTCCCTGAATCTCTGATTAATAGTTCATTGCATGTGATAAGAAGCTGATATTTTGGCAAATCCTTTCACTGATAATGCTCTGCATTTGTAAAGTACACAAGTCTCTGTTGGTTATTGTTTGATTCAACTTGTTACTAAGTGTTTGTGTAATTTTTAGGTCAGAACAAATGGCTTTTCAACAACTCCCCTTCAGCTGTGTAGTTACTGGAAATGTGAGGAGGAAGCAACAGATCTAAGGGTTGATTATCGCTATAATCCATCCTGTATGTCAGCTCCTTGTTCAATTAGCAACTTATCTGTGGTGGTACCTATGAATGGTGGAGTTACCATCATGCAATCCAAACCATCGGCTACTTGGTAAGTGATAAGCAAACAATTTTTTTTCCATAAAGGCAGTCTTAATGATCAGGGAGAGAGGGGATAAGAGGAAAGGGAACACCTAGTTGAGGACTCCCTTAGGATCAGGATAGGAGTCCTTTGTTAGGATTTTATGTCCACTGAGACAATGATATAGGAAGATTGTGTTGGGGTCTGAACAAAAGTTTTTGTCTATATTTTAGTGTTTCATGTGGTAGATTTTGTTATTGTCTGTTGTACTTACTAGAAGATAGTTAGTGTAAGTGAATGCCCTTGATGATTGAGTAATGAATTTATTTTAGGTCTGCTGAACACCAAAGAGCATTTTGGAAACTGCAAGAAGTTTCCAACACATCAGAAACTCAAGGTGATCAATCATGAAAAATCCTATTTTAACTAATTATATTTCTTCCAAAAAATAATGGGCTGGTACAAGCCAGTGGCTCAATTCAGCCTTATATTTTGCTTTGATTGTTTTTTCCTGTGTTTAACTCTAATATTTTACACAATATTGATATCAACTTCTCAAAGGTAATTTGCAATTTTTTCAGTTCTAAGTCAATAAGTGCCACACCTGAGTTACAAAACAAACTTAATAAAGCCAGCAGTAATTTGTTGAGCAAATATGGTACTTTAATTTTGACTTTTATTATTATTATTATTATTGTTAGGTACACTGAGAGCAAGGTTTGATTTAACACAAGGTCCAAGTACACCTTCACGAATTGCTGTTCAGTTTACATGCAATGGTGCTACAATTTCTAAGTTGAATTTTGAGTTGAGATGTCAAGAATACAAACTATCTCTTGTTAAAAAGAGGTTTACAACTGGTAGGTTGTAGATTTGTTTTGAGGTTTGTTTTTGAATAGTTGTTTTAATTGTTCACCAATTTCATTGTTTGTCATTCGATACAACTTGCTTTCTTAATTGATAGCAAATTTGCTGACAACTTTTATTTTTTCTTGTTTCAGGTAAATACATAGCAGAGAGCTAGTGGAAGCTGGCTCTGTGCCAAATCAACCAATATTTTAATGATTTAATCAAACACAAATTTCAACAAATATTGTGCAAATGTAAATGAATGAAAGGGAAAGAGAAATCTATAAAATGAGATATAATTAGGGGGTGGAATCAGCAAGTGATTGGTGCTGTAGGTTTCTATTAAACTTCACAGTTCTTATATTATACATTTTGAAAAAAAAATTTGTACTTAGTTTTCAGGGTACAAAAAGTAATTTGTTTATTCATGATGTTGAGAGAATATTGCAGCAATATCTTTTATTAGTATATACCTCACAAGCTAACAGTGCTTTTCATATAGGCTGATTGGCTAGTTAGAAAGTGATTAGCAAGTACTATTCACCTCTCAGCAGCTGAAGAGGCAAAATCATCCATCAAGAGTTAAAGTCTGACCATTTTATACATTGGTAGAAATAAATTAATTCTTGTGTTTTTGTGTGGTACATACTAAAATCATTATTCACCTCAGTGTTGGCGAAAGTTGTGGATAATTACTTTGTTTTGTGGCTTGGTAAAGTTTCACATCCATTTTGGTGGGTAATTGTTAACTATTTCTTTACTATCATGGCTTACAATAATTTTTTTTCTGCTCAATTTTTCATCCAACTTGCTTTCCTCTACTATCAATCTCCTATCTCTATTAATGTTAAGTATCATGTAGTATCAGAATGCGAGTACATATTTGTTTTCACTTAGAAATATTGAATTAACCCTTTTAACTTCCAAGATCTGATAGTCAATTCTTTCCTGTAGTTGCCACACATTTCCTCACAAACTAGTACAGGAATTTGGTGTCTGATCAATATAACTTTTACCTGATAAGTTTGAGTATTCTCATTTCCTGTTTGCTGGATAATGTATGGATATTACAGGGAGAGGTTACTTGTGAATCACTTCTGGAAGTTAAAGGCTTACTTACTGCTTTAATGAATGAGTTGTGAACCTATCTTGTGGATTAATCTTATATGAGGAAACCAAGTTATTGTTTTTGTTGTATTTTTTCAATCTGATTGACAAGTTTTAAAATACAGTGAAAGTACAGTGGAGAAGGTTTGGGTGCAAACTCAAAAGCAACAGTTTGGACCACAGTCTCTATCTTTGGTGCTAAACATGATGAAATTTAAACAAGCACATTTGCAAGTTATATTTTTTGCTTCCTTTGAAGACGTGCAACTTTTTTTAACTTGAAAATGTTTTGAAGAAGACTTGATGAAGAGTGCACTATATCTAGTTGTCATAGGGTGCTGTAAAAATACCTTTTGGACACATGTAAGGAGCTGATACACCTTAAGTCGGTTGAATATGACTGTTATTGTGAGCAGGTGTGGCATGCTCATCAGGATCGCTAGGTTTGCAACTGCCAAAAAAAAATTGCTTGATTATGGGTATGGCTCATTTGCTTTGTTACTGGCAGCAGCTACTTCTACTTAAATAAATTTTCTAGCATTTTTTACACTCATGAGAGGCACATAACACAGCCACCGTACATTTTGACAGTTCAAGCAAAGAAAACATGGCCATTTTTGTTTTTGGTGTAATCATTTTGCCTCCCAGTAAATCCTTATCTGACCAAGATTGTGTGCAAAGGTGTCTGGATGTTCACCTTGTTCTTTCCTTTTATAATTTTTATGAAACTTATCTCACATGGTGGTCTTGGAAATGTGATAGGTTTTTGTTCTTATCTAGTGATGTCAAGTGTGCTTTGGAACATTAAGTGGCTTAGCCATAAAAAAGCAGCATGAAGCTCGGAAATGAAATTTTCAAGTAATTTTACTGTCACCTTTTTTTCCCTGGAAATTCTGTTGGCAATTTACAGTTATTATCATCCAGCCATCTTGTCACTGTCAGTGATATCTTGGGGTAGGGGGGTGGGGGTGGGGGAGAGGGTTGGTATGATTTAATTAGAGTGCAGTCCAATGGAGTACTTGTTATAATCTTAGGTATTTATTGCTGAAGCTATCTGGGTGGAATATCAGCATTACTCAATGGAGCAAATTGGCCATACCTTGGGCCTTGACAATATGTCTGGAGTATCAAGTTTGTTGACTGAGATCACCATGGGAAAATATTTGTTTTAATGAGTTTTTTAACTAGCAATTTTCTTCTCACTATTAGATTTAAAATAATGAACTCAAGGCTGCTAGAGGCTATAATTTTGCATTAAAATGAAATGTCACCTTTTCATATCTACTGTATGAATTTTTTTGAGGCTGCTTTCAAATTGAAGATGAATTTATATTAGGTGTTGTAGTCCATCTTTTCAAACAGATTTGTAAAGTTGGACACAAATTTCAGAAAAGGGGACTCAAAAACCTGGGGTGACAGAGCAATTATGTTCAGGCTGTCACAGCTATCAAGCCACTTAGTGTTTGTATTACAATTCACACAGGAAATACATTATTGTGATCACGAAAATGTCCAAATATAGTATGATCAGCAAGTTACAGGAAGAAAAAAAAAATGAAATGGCTGTATCATTTACTTGTACAGAGACAACACAGTATGTCTATTATAACTTTTTTATTGTGAATAAAGTTAAGTCACTTAAAAAAGACCCAGATTGTTAACTTTAGACTTATTCCACTGTTTTTATAAAACTGTATCCTTGTAAAGTTACAGAAAACATATTCAACTGAAAAACCGAAATTATTTATCAATGCATGAAGGAACTCAGTTTTTCATTTTTCAAATTTTGTGTCTATGAATGACTAACGTGAATGATGTGGATAATTTTAGGAAATTTTACAAACTATGTAGAGCGAATATATTTACGTAAATCTCATCTAAAAGTGCGATGCTTTTTCTTATGTACAGCTAATTCTTTTCGCAAGTCACGCGGTAAACACTTGAAATCATGATGAACTTTCAGTTACTACCATTGAATAACTACCACTCATTTACATACTGAAAGTACTTTTCCACGAGTTGTCAGTTGTAAAAATAGCTACAATGCTTCTGAAGTAAAACCTATCCGTTTTAAGTTAACTAGAACACGTTTCACTCACAAAGTAAAGAAAAATTGATCAGATCAGATCAGATACATTGCAACACTGTACAATAACATAAAAGCCATTTAAACTTTGCGCGCCAAAATGTTTATTTCATCAAGTGAAATGACACCAAAGTTCGAAAATTGGATTTGTTTCTGGTTAATTAAAGTTAAATTGAGTATCAGCAAGTTCTACGAGAGCCATAGCTCCATACCATCTTTCTTTTGCCTCAGCCATTCGCTTTCTTGCTTCAATTCTTGATTTCTTTCTTTCAACAACTTGCTGCCTAGCGATTTCCTTTTCTACCTTCCGCTTCATGACTTTCTCTTGAACCTTTGCAGGATTTCGCTCCTCTTTATCAAGCTCGTAGTTAGCCAGCCATTGTAAAACAGCCGCTTTGTATTCGTTAGGCTCGGAATTCTCGTTTTTCAAGATTTCTTTCAGCGGAATATCGGTAAAGATACGCTTCAGGCTTGCATACGGGTGAATGCTGCAATGGCGGTTAGCATGTGTAAATCGAGTGGTACAACCTTGAGCGGAACAAGCGAACGGTTTTTCGCCTGTATGTAGCCTTTGATGAGTCTTCAATTGGCCACTTTGGACAAAAGCTTTTCCACAGTTCGGGAAATCACAAACGTAAGGCCTTTCGCCGCTGTGTGTTCTCCTGTGAGCTTGCAGAGACTTTTCGCGCGGGAAAACTCGATGGCACACATCGCATCGGATCGAAGAATACGAATTCTGGCCTTCCTTCATCAGAATGTTTACTACATCCGCTCTGGGTCTGCCTCTTGGTGGAATAACATTCGGTGAAGTCGGAGAGTAGCTTAGAATTGTTCCAGTTGGAGTTGTTGGAGTTTGTGGAGGAGAAGGCGGCGTGACTTCGTTCGTCGGTGTTGTTGGAGGTGACCAGACAATGACTGAAGTTCTTTGCTTCTGCGGCAAGTTTAATTGTTCAGAAACATCTTCGAGCTTTGGAACAGGCCTGATCATCTGTTTACTCACTGAAAATAGCTTTGATCCTGGTTGAGGGAAGTATATTCCACTTTTCTGAAGGGAAATCGTCAGGAAGTCGGCCATTTTTAAACCAGCACTGCTCTGCTCGGGTGACTACGGAGTTTTAAACTGATCAAATGAATTTCCCGCCTTCGGTAATGTATTTATCAAGACAATTACGACTGAATAAATTGTAAAATGCCCGCCAAAATTGCGTTTGCTACTGTCCGATAATTTTTTAAAATTTGAAAACCATAAAGTTTTCCTACAAGACTATCAAATTGTGAAACTGCCTTTTGGTAAAAAAATATTGAGAATTCTCTCTATCTTATAGCTTCTTGCAAGTTTTTTCTTGTTAGTGACGTCACGACAATATTAATTTACATAACATTGGGTTCTTGGAACAATAATTTTTTTCGCTACATTTACATAACATTGCCTGATCCTTTTAAGTTCAAATTACTACACGTGGCTTGTTTTTCTCTCTAATATAACAAAGGGGAATTTGACGTTCAAAAAGAAATAAGGACGCCGGAACAACGAAGAAGCGTGCCGAAAGAACAGGCTCGAAGCTGAGAGGAGCTTGTTCCAGCACGCCGCCGAAAAAAAGAAAAACAAACCCTTGTAGACTCATCCGTTTGATACAAGTTTAATGCCATGTGCTTAAAATATCTCAAGCATAGCTAAAGAGTGATTTAAGTTAACCGCAATCAGACGATAGCAGACGGATGAAAGATATATTTCAAATTAACATAACAAATTAAAACGACGTGAACAAAGAAGGCTCACTTCACTTCTTTTGGCGCCAAAACATTCAACCGTTCATAAGACTTTCTAAATGATATTACTCTTAGGTGTAGACCACAGTAGTATTCCTCTTTTTTCAGTGGCTTGTGCTCGGAATCAATTTTTTTTCTTTGAAAGCATCGTGTGAGATTTGTGAGTCTTGCCAAGCATAAAAGTAGATTGTAGATCAATATTTTCATCACAATATTTCCCCTTCCCCTTTAATGTGCCAAAATGTAATTTCCATTGAGTGGTGTTTTTTTTGGTCTAAACTTTTTAAAATAAATACCACTGTGTAAATTTCACTCAGTCACTGCATTGAAGCAGGAAATGGGGTTCTGATAAAGGAATATTTCAGCGATTCCTTCAGGGAGGTGAAAGTGCTGTACTCTCTCTTTCAAAATACAATAGAGTGATTGGAACCAGTTGGTCATGATTGAAAAAATAGCCAAAAATCCCAGCAAGAAGGCCTTAGGCACATTTACCTCTGCAAACCCAATTTCACCCACAAGCATCCCTTTCAAGGTGCACACTGGTGAATTTTAGTGAGAAAGCATTCTCAAGAAACTGAAATTGAAAGAAAAAATTTGAGTCAAGTCAAGCATTTCTCTTCGTGTCAATTCTTATAATCTGTTATAATATCAGTCAAAAGAGAGCTATTAACTTCTTTAGAGGAATTCATTTCTTCCAAACCCAGAAAAGTTTGCCCTCTACTTGTGTTTCTGGGCACAGATACTCATTAAAGTAAATTTCACACTGGACATTTGAAGCCAGAATCAAGAAAATCTGAATGAAATGCACATTTTTCCTATTGGATAGTGATTCAACATCAAGAATTGTGTGGGACTAACAACCAAGTAGGCAGTGGAACAAGAAAAGGTTGCTTCCCTGGCAGAGAAATATAATAACAAAGTACAACTGTGTGTGATAAATATGTAATGAGTTAATAATGTATAGTATTACTACATGACAGTGTGTCAGTGGGTTGAAGAAAAAAACTTCTTTAGTAACTTAGAATCCTACAAGTAAGTTATGGGAAAGGGGAAACCTAAATTTGTCCTCCCATCTACACTTTTTGCTTTGCTAAACAAAGTCAATAGCTAACTGGAAATTTTACTCTATATTGACTGTAAAGAAGTGAAAAATATCAACTAAAATATGTTTTAAAATGTGTTCATTAGGTGCTATCTCCATGCAGCTTTTGATCTTATGGGGAATTGTTGCTTTTTGAACAAATGCACCGATAAAAATTATATTTACAAAAGATTGTCATATACTGTCTGCAATACTTGGCTATCATGGAAAGTTTTCTAACAAGCTGAAAATTTACTCATAAGATCTTGCACTAACAGTCATATTCAACTTTGAATTTAAAGATCTCTTAATCATATATATATATATATATATATTTTTTTTTTTTTTGCTGTGTGAGATGAATTCACAGAATTGTACAATCATAATGGTCCTAGGGGCAGAACAAAACTAAAAAAGATAACTGGAAAAAACTGAGCCCTTTGTATTGAAATCAGGACCTTTGGCCCAGTTTCTCCCACTGTGAACCAACCATGGCTGACAAATAACTTTTAAATAAAATGAAAGCAAAATGCTGCTGGTCACATCTTTGCATTTAGGCTGTGTCAATTTCAATCCATACTCCCACACTTCCAGTGCGATCTACTACTGTTACAATGGTTCTTGACATGATGCTGCATATTTGATGATTTTGTTTCATCCCAGGCCAGGCATTACATAAGCAAGATTGTCCAGCACCTCAGTCTGTTAAAATAAAAGTAAAATATTTAAGTTTTGATTTCCAAATAACATTAAATTTTGCAGGGTTACCAGTTTTTTTTCATGATAAGATCAGAGCAAGATGCAAAAAAATGACAAGTAAAGAGGTTTTTGTTTTGTCACGAGCAGGGGACAAACAAGCAAATTTGAGTTCCTAAGAGGAATTAAGCCCCAAACCTTCAGATTTCCAGCCCCATTAATCTACCATTGCACTACAGAGAACTTAACAGTAAGCTGGATCTTACTTTACATGTAGGGTCCTGCATATTATTGAGATTGACCCTTTACAACCTGACATCAGTATGAATATTCTCCGTACTGTTCTCCATACATTTCTTAAGGTGCTGACAAGGAGAATTGGTTTAATAATCAAGGTCTTCTTAATTAGAAGTCATTTCCTTTATTCTTGTGATATTAAAGTGTGATTCAAGGTAATAATATAAGGTGAAATTATATGTAGATGCTCGTCACTCTCAAGCGTCAAAGGATTGACAATGTTGCAAGTGTTGTGTGAATGAAAAAAAAGCTTAGGTTAACCATTTCATTCCTATGATTAAAAAAGTTTATGTTCTCAACCAACAACCTCACAGGTTATTTGTAGCTGGTCATAAAAAACCCCATGAAAATTAGTGTACAGATGTGTGGGGAGAAATATTTCAAAACTCCTGTTAATCCTTTTAACAATACCTGGGTTTTTTTGGAGCAGCCATCCATTTCAGGTATTTGTGATGTTAGGAACAATAAAGGGGATATGGCACAGAGGGCTGAGTCTAATAGCACAGACAAGCTGCCATGAACTTCACCTGGGTCCTTTGGAAGGAAAAAAGGAATTAACAGACAGATAATACCTAATTGTTATCACAAGCATACAATCTTTATAAGTTTCATTTATATAGTTTCATCTTTATTCTTCCCAACTTTTTCACAGAAGTCCATAACTACCTGCTGGTGTAAGAAGACAGGACAACAATTTCTGGTTACCTGTACTCGTAGACAGGCTCCAACTGTACACAAGGACTCCCCCAAGAGCTGCAAATGGGCTGCCAAATCAATGGGTTCAGCTTGTCCTTCTTTGGGCACAGACACAGCGTTTGGGCTGCTGAGTCCAAGAGATTTCTTGACTTCTTCTGCCTTTTTCCGCCAACACTACAAGGAATTGCAGATGGGCATTGAAAAAAAAAGTATATAAGACTGAAATTACATGTAATATAAGATCCTGGGCTGGTGCACTGTACCAGTACATGTTGAGGGGCTGTTCTGGTGTACCAGTACACGGGGGAATTCCTATTGTTTTCATATCCATACATGGAGTTGTGACTCAGTTCATTAATGTTTCGTTCCTTTGTGTACCGGTACACGAGGACACAACCCATGTTGACTTCAAAGCCACCTTTCTCTTTCTCTGGAATTGTGTAAAAGAGAACTTCACTTTGCATCTATTAATTTAATCTCCTGAGGATAATGATACACACAGTCATGTGAAATACAGAATCAACATTACCTACAACTTGAATTTTTTACCTCCTTCTCATCATCCTTGAGGTTGTTCCATGCAATGCCAACTTTCTTGCTGATTTCTGTGAACTCTGAGTAACAGGAAGTGGAAAGTCCTTCTCAATAGTGTGCAAAAACCATAACACTTATTTTATATGAAGTGGCTTCAAGTGCAAAACATGTGCAAACACAACTTCTACACTGGAATTTGATATCACTATACACCCCTATTCTTCTGAAAAAGCTATATGGTGCTGTAAAGAGTATGACCGTACCTAATCCAGGATTTTCCTCTGCAATTCTCTTCCGCTGTTGCTTGCAGAAGAGCAGATAGGATGTCACTACCTTGGGCTTCTAAAGAGAAATGAAGATAATTTATGATTAAATAACAGTACATATAACATTATGAGTCATAAAACATAAAGTAACATAAAGTGTTACTGTAAATCAAAAGAGCTGGATATAGAACAGTTTTGCATTTATATATACTAGAACAAAGTCAATATCCTTTTTTCAGAGATAACAAAAGGAGGTTACCCTGAGCAAGCAGCATGTGCCCATCTTGCTTGCTTGCAGAGCCAGTTCTACAATAAAACTTAAGACTTCTAATCATGATACTGATTTGACCATGTAGTCTGATTATCTGATTGAGGATGGTCCTGAGAAGGACTGTTGTTGTTAGTGACTAAAGTCATCATCAGAGTCAGATGATGACTTCCACTCAGGTTGTCAAACATCAGTCATCACTACCGACAACAGTTCTTCTCAAGACTACCCAAAAGATCAGACAACATACTCAAATGTAACCCCTCCTCCTTAGGTTCAAACCACTCCACAAAGATATTGATTGATACACATAGTATACATTATAAAATGCACATACATGTGTAGCATACATGATAAGCTTAACGAGCTTAACAAGCTTAACGAGCTTAACGAGATGAACCTACCTGTGGTGACTTGATTCTTTTGGCTGAAGTTGAAGCTGATGTTTCTTTCTTGCTCTCTGTTTTAGAAGAGCCTTTCTTTTTCTGATGGTCTACTGCCAGTGTTGTTGGTTTAGTGTTCTTCTTTTTCTTCACTTCATCAGACTTACTGCTGGTGGGAATCTTCTCTTTTTTTATGACTAACTTAACATGTTCACTTTCAGTTTGTGATGGTGATGCTAGATGCTTTTCATTCTGGGAACTTGGTAATTTTTGTTTCTTTTTCTTTTTATTGCCTTCCTTTGATTGCTCAGGTAAATTCACTGTATTGCTGCTTTGTTCTAAGGCATTGCTCACCATTTCTACATTACTATTGGAAAGGCCTTTGAATTTGATTGAAATCTTTTTCTTGTTTTTCTCTGAGGCTGGGGCTGTTTGACTGCCATCAGGATGTAATTTAGCAGCAGGTTTCTTGTGATGTGATGTTTTCGGTGATCCATCTTTGTGATTTCTAGATGCTTGTTTGTGCTTATGATGATGGTGATGATGATGATGATGTTTCTTATGTTTTGTTCCATCCTCTGATTGAGGAAGCTGTAATTTTAGGATGATATGTTCATGTCCTTTATCTTCACTGTCATGGTTACTTTTTACTTTCTCTAGCTCCTCAGACACCGTATCCTTGTGTTTGCTAGCCTTCTGTTTACTACTTTTCATGATCTTTCCCTTTCTTTTCACATTTGATGCACCAGCGTTTAAATCACTTGCTGAATTATCATCACTGGTAACAATATCACTCTGTGAAAATCCTAGTTTGTTTTCTACACCATCCTCCTTCATGACTCCTTTTCCAACACTACTGCCTTTCTTTGTTGACGATTTATCAGCTTGTTTAACTTTAGGTGTGCTTTTAGGTTTGGCTGGCTTTGGAGTTGATGATGTTTCTTCACCAGTACAATGGTCAGATTCAGCTCTCACTTTGAATGCTGTTAATGTTGCCATCTGAACTTCTTCTGATTGCATAATCTTCTTTTTCACAGGTTTACCCTTTCGTTTATTCATCTTTCCTCTATCCTGATCATCTTTAGAATATTCTGACTTCTTTCTTCCCACATACACTTCACCAGATTCTTGAATACTCACACTGATGCTTTTAGACACATCTAATTTGTCTGCTGTGCTAAGTGATACTTCACTTTCACGGTCTGGAAACAAGTTTACCTCTTCCTTAGGAGATGATTTTGGTTTATTTAATTGTTGATTGCTGGAACTCCTTCGCCTCTTTGGTTCCTTTAGGTCTACAGTTGTAATTTGGAACTCAGTAAGAGTCTGTGACATACCATTGTCATCCCTGAGTGTATTTGGCGACTGATTTCTATTTTCTTCTATATTCTTGTCATCCTCGTCACCTTCAAGAAGTGAGAAAGTTCTTTTTGGCATGTGACCTCGTGAAGAAATTCTGATTTTTGGAGATGGTTCATCGGAATTTTCTGGTGTGTTCCTTAACAGTTCCTGATCATTTCTTCCCTCTTTGGATTTACTTTTCTTGCTACCTTGAACTTTTGGAGTTCTTGTTCTGCTATTCTCTATCACATCTTGTTTTGTTTCCCTAACATCATCCTTCTCCAATAAATGAAAGCTCTTTTTTGGTAGATGAGCCCTTGAGGAGACCCTCATTTTAGGAGACGTTGATGGTATATGTACTGGCTCAATTGTATCCTCTGGGATCACAGATACCTCTGGTTTCTTCTCCTCCTTCTCTCCCTCTTCAAGCAGAGAGAAGATCCTTTTAGGAACTGGGGTTCTAGAAGATGTCCTGACTTTTGGAGAAAAATCTGCTTGTGTTTCTTTCTTAATCCGTGTCTTTGAAGATCCTGTTTCTTTTTTATCCTTCTGAATATTTTCAGTGAGCTTTGGTGTTCGATCCTCAACCACCTTAACAATAGCATCCTTGAAAACTTCCGTATCTGTTTCGATTTCTTTCAGATAACTTTGATAACTTCGTCTCGTTTCTCTTTTATGGCCCTCGTCAAAAGTGGCTGAAGAACTTATTTTTTTAGGTTTCTTGGCAATCGGAGCGTCGTCTGTGGGCGAAGTTAATTTGGATTTATTGGAAGGCTGACTGGCTACTGATTGAGTTATTTCAAAGTCACTTGGTTTTGGACTTAAAGTTACGTCAGGACTTCGACTGATAACTGCAGTCTCTTCATCGTCAAATACTTTTGGTTTAGGAGTCCTTGATGACCTTCTAACACCAGTTTCAGTTTCTTCCATCGACAGATTATCCTGTAGCCTTTCGTTCGTTTGAGTATTTTGTTCTTGCGATTTCGATCGCTTCTTTTGCGGGAAGAAAGACGGGGAGAAGTCATCATCTCCAGCTAATTCTCTTCTACGTTTAGTTGTCTTTCGATGAGACATCGGATCAAAGGTTTTCCAATCAACTTGATGGGGCAAAATACAGCGTAAACATAAAAAAGACAATAGGATCTCTAAACCGCCATGTTTATCCGAGTTGGTCGTGAGGAACCTTGGTCCAACTGAGCCCCAGTGTATGCCGTTCAATCAACATGGCGGCGTTTTGAAACATTTGAACTTCGTTCGTGAGCGAATAAGATTAACCAGGTTTTCAAAGGTAAAATGCACATCTAGCTACCACAAATAGTCTTAATTGGATTTAAAATGAGTTCCTCAGACATAAAAGGTTGGTGAACCTAAAAATACGGAAAGCATGTATTGCAAGTTTTACACCTTGCTGTTCTTTGCTTCTGTGACTATATAAAGTACATTAAAATCAACAGGTATACTTTACTTCCATCTCCAGATTTAATTGGACGACTGACAAACCAAAACAATGAAAGTCAAAGAACAGGATGCAAGAAATGTGGCTACAGTAAGTTTGAAATCTCAGAGCTTCAATGTGACGTGACTGTACACAAATAAATATCTGATTCAAAAAAATTAAAAGTTAGTTAAGTTTTAGTACAAAACATGCGTAGTTGAACCAGAGGACTTTCGCGTTACGTGCAATGATCATTCACCTCGGCACATTTAGAGCACATTTAATGACTTTGTGTCATGTACTATTCAAGTTTCACCTTTAAATCAAATACGGTTACCAACTAAAAAAGCTCTTGATTGTTAAAAAAATGCTCCTTGTCAGCACCTTAGGAAATGTGTAGAGAATAGTATTGAGAATTTGTATACTGATTTTAGGGTGTAAAGGATTAATTGTTGGTTATGTTTTAACAGGTGGTCACCTAACTTTTCAGTGTCGTAACTTTGTACGCGTTGATCCAAAGAAGGATGTAGTGGTTGATGTCAGTAGTACATCCAGTGAAGAAGAGGATAGCGATAAAGAAATCAGCGTCAGCTCTACAACAACTCCTACTTCATCCGATTCAGATTCAAAAAGAAAAAAGTCTCAGAGGAGAAAAACAGTGAAAGAAAGGTTAGATGCAGCAAACTTTTTTAATGGTGATGTCTTTTCCACACAAATATTTCTATTTCCTGTTATTTTAAGATCCCAGTCTCTAGAGAGGGCCTTGAAACAGAGAGATGTTCCACGTCAGAGGGCTGCCTCATACTCACCACCTGCTCTAAAGAGGTATGTGTAGCTGTGTGTTAAACTAGCATGGTCTTGCAATTTAAGTACTACTGGTATCCTTGTTTTAATTGCAAGATTTTAATGATATTTGCGGAAGATTAGCAGTATACAGTGGGAATGTCTCCTGATGCACCTCCAAAGTGACCACATCATGAGACAAACAATTACATTTCTCTTTTGAAAGTGTTTTTAACTGTGATGACTAACCAAAACCTATTTTATGAATTATTTCTCAATGCAGAGCCAAGAGGAGTCATTCAGTAACAACTGATGAAACTGACAAAAGTAAGGAAACTCAGTCAAATTTGAAGTCTCTTATTATTTTGTGACTACAATCTACAAACTTTTAAATTGTTCATTATTTATTTGATATTATTTTCTAAAGTACAATTTATATATGATATGAAAATTACTCCTTTAATCCTTTACACCCATGTATACTGTTTTCTGTTCATCTCTTAACCCTTTAACTCCTAAGAGTGATTAACACGTACTTTCTCCCAATAATATCCATACATTATCTAATAAACAGGTTATGAGAATACTTAAACTTATCAGGTAGAAGTTATGATCTTGATCTGACACCAAATTCTCACAACTAAGTTACAAAGAAATGTGTAGAAGCCAGAAGGGAGAATTATTATCAATCAGATCTTGGGAGTTAAAAGGTTAAGGTTATAGCAAGGAGGATTTGTTCAACAATCAATATCTTTTTTAATTGATAATCATTCCCTTCTATTCTTGTGAACCTTTGGGAGTGATATTGTTTGGTGAAATTAGATGCCAGGCTCTCTCAGGTGTCAAAGGGTTAAGATATTCATTGGTAGTTTTTGTTTTTATTGGGAATAATTTGTATTGTTACCAATAAAAAATATATATTTTCATGCTTATCCTTACATGTTGTAGGTGATGATGATTCTGATAGTCATAAAAGAAAAAGAAAAAAGATCAGAAAACATCAGAAGTGAGTAGGACACAAAATTTTCAGGCTCATAATGCAAAATGAGGCTAAATGGATCATTATTTTATTTTCAATGAATCTTGCTGGTTTACCAACTAAATTCAAAGTATAAAGAGGGTAAGTTTCTAAAGAATCTGTGGTGCTGCATCAGTGGGGGAGTATTTGCAAGATAATTTGATTTTATTAACTTAGTCAATAAATAAATGTAGATTGGCCATTGTAAATGGCCTCTTTTGCTGAGGTTTGAAGTGTTAGCCCTTTGTCAGAATGAATGACTAATAACTTCAGGTGCTTCTGTCTGTTCTACTAAGTCTGCATGGCAAGAGCACTTGTGTTCCTTCATGTATATTTTATGCTTTTATGCAACCATCTTTTGATAAGTCACAGAATTTCATGGGATTAAAAAAAGAACTTTATTTGAGGGCAGGTATATTTGCACTAATAATTTGAAATGAGAAAGCAGACTGATGCTATTCTTTGTAGACTAAAGGAAAAAAGGGGAAGCATTCAGGTTTTCTGTCTCTCAGCTGTTGATCCCTGTTGTTGCCACAAAAAAGAAGGAATGCCTGATCACTACATCACTACTGAAAAATGCTGCTCAAGAGTTGATTTACTTACATGTAATTATACAGCTGCAAGTATTATTTTCAGGAAAGAACAGCCAAGGAGTAAACACAGAAAGAGCCACAAACACAAAGAAAAGAAAAAAAGCAGAAGGAAAAAGAGCAGAAAAAGACACAAGGCAACCTCAGAGTCTGAGTGATGCTCTTCAAGACTATTCAACCCTAATGTTCTTGTGAGTAGATTATGATGCTTGAAACTGAAATGTGGGAAAGATCCATGAGCAAGGGTGGATGTTTAAGCCTTCTGTATCAACTATTGTCACAAGTTTTGAAAGTGCTTCAGTTCTTTACTGGTATTCAAATATTAACAATATTGCTATAATTTGAGTTAAAAGTTCTTTTTCACTTGTTCAACTGTCAAAGTGTAAAACCAAAACCATAGTCATGTGCATGGTTTTGCAAGGACAAGGTAACACTTTTTTTTTTAAACATCAACAATTTGTTTTTATGTAATTCAACTCTCTTCTCTGTCTGTACAAAGGTTCAGCTTATTAGTACAAGAACTATGCCACTGATGTTTGGTGTAGTTAGGGGGAAGATGTTCTCACAATGTAGGGGTTGATTGGAAGGAAACAAATTCTTACATGACTGTATTTTTAATTTAACCCTGTAATGAAAACTTTTTAGAAAGAAATTGTAAGAACTCCAAGAGCTTGTTCTTGCTATTTTATTCTGCACTTTGTACACACTATATACTTGGGCAGCTGTTTTAATTTAGTTAATAGTTTAGTGTTAATAGTGCCGCATGAGATTTATAATTAGATTATGAAACACATAACAAAATACTTGAATACCTAATTGCTTTTACCCATGGTTTTATATGAAAGTAACTGAGTCTACAGTAAGTTTTAATATTAAGATACTGTCAAAGATAGTCCATGACCTTGATAGATAATCCTCACAAAGCTCATTTTCTGAACATCATTTGAAAGACGAAAACCAGACCTAGACTGAACAAATCCTTTTTAAAGGTTAAATATGAAACTTGTATGAAAATATAGCCTTATGTATTATTATTTTCCCTAGTTGCTTCAAGTTACAGTGTTGTAAACCCCAACTAAATGTAAAGTTAATGTATTTTTTTCAAGAATTAAAAATAAATAACACTAGTATTTTTTCACTTATTGAACCCTATTTTGTATCAAGGGTAAAACATTACCCATTGGTAAAATAGCTCTGTCTAGTATATACAAGCCACATAAGGTGAAGGTATTATTCATTGGATCAATGTCAGTATCTGTACAACTGCACACCTATGCATCTCCTAAGCAACACTAACCTTAACCTGTTATCAATTGACTGTTGTTGGGTTAGGGGAGGGGTAGGTGTACAGCTGCTCAGATACTGACATTGATCTATTTATTCCATATTAGTCTTGAAATGCTTTGCTTGTGGAATTTCTTGATATAATTTTTCTCCATGTAATAACTGTACAGGCATGTACCTGTAAAACTGTTTTTGCATGAAACGTAGTATTGAGCCCTTACAACAATTTGACAATCCTTACAGGCAAATTAATAAGGCTAATTGGTGCACAAGAGAATTATTATCTTAAGTCCATCATCATAGAAGCGGGGTTTTCTAGATAAGATTTCCATAGGTTTGAAAACCTAGCCATTGTAGCACCTTCTATGACTCTGTGATCAGCTGACCAGCTTACATTGACTATATACGCTTTGTAAATATCGTCATCCTTATCAAACTTGGGGACTTCCTATAAAAATTGTTACAAATAACCATGTGAGTAAACAGTAGGGGAAAACAGAGGAGTCCTTAACTAGTGTTTCACTGACAATTTGCAGGGTGTTCATTTACCATTAAGGGATAAAAGAACTCTTTAGCTAGTATGCAGAATTCTCTTACTAAATTTCCATTCCCTGAGCTAGCTCTTTTTCAGATGTGGAGAATATTCTACTTTTACTTTACACTATTCTCCAATACATTTCCTAATGAAAGCATTGTTTTGGAGCACATAAGTTGTTTTGATTATCATGATTACTTTTTCTTGAAAAAGGCAAGGGAGAGGTCAGATGTTGCTTAGACAGCCTTCAGACAAGCTACCTCTTTGTAACATTATGTCCATGATATTGAACCCAGACTTGTTATCTCCTGAAAATTTAAAGAGTTAAATGAGTATGCTAACCTGTATTCTTCCAATAGCACCAATGGCAACCTCAGGAGGCATAATCACTGGTTTTGCATACGTTCCTCCAATCTGGCAAAGACATCATAGACAATTGGATCATGTAACCAAAGATGCAAAGGTTCATATTTCAATTTCTTACAAAGGCTTGGATCCACGAAGTGATGAGCCACTGACTCAGATCTTCACAACAAACTATTTGCTGTGTTGAGTTTGGGTGACCATTGCACAAATTTGTGCAAAATTGTCCATGTCACTTGAAGCAAATTTTTGCAATCATGACCTCAACTGTGATGTGTTGTCCAACAGGTCTAAACCTTGGCAGAATTTTGGCGTTTAGAAGCCCTCAATGCTCGCCACTTCAAAAATTATAGTCAATTTGAAAATAACTAATTTAAAATTAAATTGAACTTGTAACTATTCAAAGATGAAGCTTACTGATCCAATGTTTGAGAGGGTAAATGTTCCTCCAATCAAGTCTTCTGGTGTAAGTTTACCAGCCAGTCCAAGCTGATGAAGTCTGTTAAGCTCTACAGTGATATCAAATATTGACTTGTTCTGTACATTTTTCACATTTGGTACCACTAAGCCTTGTTGTGTATCCATGGCAACCCCAATGTTGTGTGAACCCTGACAAATGGGATCAAAATGTAGTATTCATTAACAGGTTGGAGAAAAAATTGTTGAGGAATTAAATTATTATGGAATTATTGTATTTTGAATAGATGTTAATCATAAGATCGATCATTGCATGGTCTACAGCCTTTGATTTCAGTTAATCCTTGACTCCCAAGCTCTGATTGTTAATTCTCTCCTTTAGCTGCTACACATTTCCTTATAAATTAGTTATGAGAATTTTGTATTGGATCAAGATAACTTCTACCTGATAAGTTTAAGTATTCTCATTTCCTGTTTTCTGGATAAATTATGGATATTATAGGGAGAAGTTACATGTCAATCACTTCTGGGAATTTAGAGGGTTAAAATAGTGCATGTGATCTACCCTGAGTAGTCTGCTTAATTAGGATTGTTACATTAAATGGTTTGAGGTTCTTGGAGGTACTGTTTATGATGTACACTTCCAATTATGATATTTTAATTATCAAGCAACCATAGATCATTTCTTACTCTTCGGAGGAATTATTAAATACCTTAAAAGTGATATTCTCACATGCAGGATCCACTGAGCTGTTTAGTATTGGGAAGTGGAGCAGAGCCATAGAAGTTGCCTTCATAAACATTGGCATAAAGGATAACTTCATCCCTCTGGCCTGAAATGATTCTTTACTGTGATTTCTTACCCTGGACAAAAATATAATAAGAGAACCAATAGCCGAATATATTTCTCACTTACCTCCATATGTATTTGACAGTGTAAAGGGACAGGTAGTTGGAAATTTAACAGAAAAGGAAAGAAGATATACACAGACCTTGGACAAGTAAAATCATTTGTTACCTCACAAGCTCATTTAGAATTACTTCATCCTTGTATCCAAAATGTGGAATTGTAAGTGATGCTGTCATAGCCTTAGCCATTGCTCTCCTGATTCCTTTGATAGCTTCTGTTCTGTCTTCAAGCACCACCTCTGGTCTTGCAATTTGAGTTGAGGGTGGGGTGGTTGGGGCAGCAACCTCTACTGTGGGGGCAGGGGCTGTGAAGACATTGCAAAGAGTGCTCAGACAAACAATTTGTTCCAAAAAAATAAATCTTCTATCCAAAAACTCACCTTCAGTGGGTTTAGCCTTCATTCTCTCAATGTAATTCAACACATCTTCTTTAAGGATTCTGCCATCCCTACCAGTTCCTGGGATGTCACCCAGTTCAATCTGGAAAACAACATTTTTTGCGAAAATTTCAATTCAGGTCTTGAAAAGCACGTGCTCACCTCACTTACTACCCAGTTATTCTTAAAACTAGCTGAGGAAAAGTATGTTGAAAAGAAGTTGACAAAACTTTTTAAGGACTACTTGAAATCTATTTACTTCTTCTTACATTATAGTCCATTGCCATTTTGCGTACAGCTGGTGTTGTTAACACTTTCCCATCACTGTTAGTCTGCTTTGTGGTAATCTGAGGGGGAGGGGCCGGTGAAGCTTTTGACTGAGGTGGTGAAGACTGAGGGGAGAGGGGTGGAGGTGGAAGTGGTTGTTCTATAGCATGCGTTGGTTTAGGCTTCTGTTGGGCAGCCATGACATCTTCAGCAGGGCTTGGACCAGCATCAACATCTTAAAATACCAAATATCACAGTTAAGATAAGGATTTAATCTAAAGCTTCATGGAAAGCACTTTACTAATCCCATGGTTATTAATAGTTGAGAAAAAAAAAAAAAAGAGTCTCTAGCAGTTACTTACTTTCATCTGGACTCACCAATTTGCCAACAAGAATGCACCTATTAACTAGTATAGAAATATATTGTCCATTATATTATTGTTCTCTGCACGAATATTTCTTCTCCCTACCCAAATATCAATACTCTCAAAATTGACTGAAAAAATATTCATTTTTAATTTAGTTGGCTATAGATTATCATAAGATTTTAGGATAAAATGCATATGATTTGCAATAAAAACTCACTGGAATCAATATTAGCTTCTGCTTCTATGTCCACTAAGGGTTGTCCAACTCTTGCAATATCATCTACATCATAATACAGTTTCCTGATTGTACCATCAAATCGGCTTGTTATTGTTACTGATGCCTGCAAATGATGAAGAGGATTAGATTTTATTTTTGATAATTTAAGGGAAAATCACCATAGATGATTATAAATGTTATGTAGTCTAACCTTGTCACTCTGTACTTCACAAATACTGTCAAACTGATTCACATGATCACCTGGCTTCACATACCTAATAGAAAAATGACAAAATTAATTTCTTTTAACTCTTTCATCTCCAAGATCTCTTTTATTGGTGATTCTTCTCACTGGCTGCTATACATTGCTTGTAATTTTAGTTCTGATAATTCAGTATTAGGTCAAATAATATTGATATCTGCATTATTTAAGTTAATATATATCATTATTAAATGATAATTGACTGATTGATATCCTTCTACATTCTCATTACTTGTGTGTAAGGAGAAAGTATGTCTTGGTCCCTACTGGGAGTGAAAGGGATAATGATATAGGTATCATATAAAACTTACCACTCTTTGATTGTAACCTCTGCAATTCCTTCCCCAATGTCGGATAATTTAAAAGGAAGGACTTCTCCATTCACACCTGATTGAATTATTATTTTTTTTTAAGAACAATTTGAATGGTAGACTGTATTGTTTTAGTGGCATAAAAAAACTAGTAGCTAATTTAAAGAATACTTTTAAAATCAATACCATCACATCTGTCACACCCCTGACACACCCCCATAACGCCCATCATCGGAAGTTTTCGTAAATTATTCAGTGTACTTTTCCAATTGAAGGTTCGCTTCATAACGATCATCAATTACTTCAGAGAGGCAGTAAATCAGGGTGAATCGTCCTAATCTTTCACAAGATCTCTGAAAAATTCAACAAATAGAATAACTAACACCTAATTTGATGTACCCATCATGTACCTGACGTTGTTCGTAGAAATCGTAAACCACGCGGTTGTTTTCCAAACTCCTGTAAATTAAAAAATCATTATGTGAGTAATCCCTTAAATTGAGGCAAGAAAAGTAAGATCATCTGCAGAAATTTGTTGAAGATCACTGAACTAACCTTGCTAAAATTTGAATTTCCAATCGTCACACATGAACAGATCGGGCGTTTTCCTTTGACAATTGGTCGGTTCTGGATTTAGAAGAATTTATTGTAGAAGGAATGATAATAGAAATTCAATTAACATAAATGATGCACTCACCTGATGGCAAAAAATACGAAGATTTCTCCTTAGGGCCAAGTTTCGTAACACAGACAATTTGGACGCCATCATGAAATATAAACACGTGGAGCAATACATGCGCCTGCTTGCAGAGGCATATCCGCTGATTTGTTTCGTTTCTGGAAGAGGATTTCATAAACAGGTTTTAAGGAAGAAGTTGTCTGCAACTAAATTTCAAATTTTACAAAAATGAGCAACATATATATCCAAGAGCCTCCAACAAATGGAAAGGTGAGAAATAGTCATACTTGGCTGGGAAAAATTTCCGGCAGAATTATAAGAAAATTGTCGGAAATGAGGCAGTTGTTGTAAAAGTATGGCGCGCAGATTTGAACATTTCAAGACAACAAACTGTCCAAGTAGTAGATCTTTTAGAGTTATCGTCGTCTCGCAACAGCTGGCTTGAGTAACGAAATGTGTATCGACATGCTGTGTCATTGTTTGCGTGACTTAGCGTAAAGAAATCAACACTTGGGAAAAAATACTGATACAGGGCCAGTTAATTACATCGCTCTCACTCTTGATCAAAATTTCAGTTCTCTCGACTGGCTGCCATTCATTCAAGCTTATGAATAATTGTGATAAATTAATACGATATATCCTGCTTGCAATCTCCAGCTGTTCAAAATTTTGGTGAAGTGGTGAAAAGTAATTGAGATTACCATCTTATGATTTAAATAATTTTCATTTAATAATTATTCCAAATTCTTGTTTGTTATACCATTTGAAATAATTTTCTTTAAAGTTGTTTAAGAGGGTTTTAAAATAAAAGTTATAAGAATTATTTTGCAACCATTACAGCTTTTCACAACTACCATTTACAGCTATTTTCACTTAATCACAACAGGTTCTTCTCATTACTTCATCTGGAGAAATAGAGATTGAGTTGTGGTCAAAAGAAGCTCCCAAAACCTGCAGGAATTTTGTTCAGCTCTGTCTGGAGGGATATTATGATGGCACTATTTTCCACAGAATTGTCAAAGGTAAATATTGATTAAGTGACATCCACAAAATATGATGTGTTACACCAAAAAAATATAGTTTTAATTTCCCCAGTGAACTCATAGAAGGAGATGATAGTGTATGATTATGTCCAGATCATTCATGATTGCGTCCATGGTTGATAGAAGGGTCCATGTCTACCTAAGGTTCTCATAATTTAGAAGCCAGGAACTAAATTTAATGTAGTAGGATGCAAAATTCTAATACACCTGGTCCAGCCTGTTTCAGAATTGGTCATTAAGGCACTAGTGATACCTATCCTCGAGTATGCCTGCCCAGTCTGGAATCCTTATCTGGTGAAACACACCAAGGCAATCGAAGCAATTCAGAGAAGAGTGTCCCGACTAATATGTGGCCCAGACAAAGAATATCCTGAAAGACTTCAAGAGTTAAAATGGGACTCTTTAGAACTTAGAAGGCAATCCCTTAGCCTAGTTCAAATGTATAAGATCATATTTGGTTACTGTGATATCAATTGCCATCATTACTTTGATATTGTTGGAATAACTCGAACTAGAAGTAAGCATGAGTATGAAATAAGGCCTAAAGTTGCTCGTACAAATTATTTTAAATATTCTTTTTTTAATAGATATATTAACGATTGGAACTATTTGCCTTCTGAAGTAATGTCATCCCCTAGCCTTCAGTCTTTTAAAGTTTCACTAATTAAGTGCCTCCGCTCATAATTACCCCAAATACCAGTTTTTTTTTGTTATAGTTTTGTTTTTTTTTTTTGGAGGGTATGTCTTAGCATGGGAATTTAGTTCCCCCTACTACCATCCTGTCAACCATTTTTGTACCTTTGTTCAATGTATGGTTACGAACTGTGATTAAAGATTAAGATTAAAGATTAAGGAGTTTGCTTCATGTTATTACCTGCTTGTCTGACAATTGTTGATGAACCCATCTAAGTTGTCAGTGACATTGTCATAGTTGTTGGGGATCTTGCAGTAGTTATCAGCAAACTTGCTAAAGTTGTCAATGAACTTATCCAAGTTCTTGCTGAACTCACCCAAGTTGTTGGGGACTGATTTCAGTTGTCAGCAAACTTATCCAAGCTGTTAGCAAACTCATTCACGTTTTTCCTGTAGGTTTCTGTGTGCAGGGAGGAGACCCAACAGGAACAGGGATGGGTAAGTTATATGCTGTGGCCAGTTGATAAATATGGTCTTGTACTTGGTTGATTCTTTAAAATAAATTTTCTATTCAATGTGGTGTTTCATGTTTTCTCAGATACCTGTGAAAAGGTTGCATTTCTCTTCTTCTTTTTTATTTTTTTTTGTTCTTGTCTCAGGGGGAGAATCAATTTATGGAAGACCTTTCAAGGTAATTGTTGAACTTGATTTTGGTTGATGTGATCCATTTTTGTAAATAGAATGAGCTTTAGAATAAGGACTTTAAAAATGTTTAAACTTGTATTTAAAAATTGTCAGTGACTGGTTTTAAGTTACTCTTTGCTCTCATAGGATGAATTTCATCAAAGGCTTCGCTTTGTGCGCAGAGGGCTGGTTGCAATGGCTAATGCTGGACCCAATGATAATCAAAGTCAGTTCTTTTTCACTCTTGGAGCAACACATGAATTGAATGGCAAACACACCATATTTGGCAAGGTATAAATTTTAAAAAATTGTCTTTTGTTGCAGTGATGACTATAGAAAAAACGCACAATGCAAAACACACCTGTGCCAAATACACTGAGCAAAGTGAAACAAACAAAATGCAATTCAGGACTAGAGTGGATGCTAAACTGAGAGTTGCTCAGAAAACTCCAGGTGGGACTACCCAAAAGAATACTGCAATTAGTTAGAGAAGCATTCAAAGCCAGGACCTCTGGATTTCAAGGGTTACACCATTTTTCAATTTGTATCTAATTATGTATATAACTTGTATAAATAGTATCTAGTGCAGTCTAGCTCTATCCTTGCTGATGGATGTGTTTGATGCCATGCTCTTTTGATTGAACACTCTCAAAAACAACTCAAAATAATCTCAAGGATGAATCAGCACATAGTGCCATATCAAAATGCATGAAGCCAATGAAAAGCCAGTATAACAGAAAGGAAAACCATATTTAAGTTTCATGTTTTACTGTAACAAATCTAGATAAAGTTTGTCACCTCTGTTTGTAGGTTGCAGGAGACACCATTTACAACATGATTAAGATGGAAGATTGTGAAGTTGACAGTAATGACAGACCTCTTTTCCCTCCTAAGATAAAGAAAACAGAGGTTTGATGAAATGATTGATTTATACTTCCTTAAACCCTTGAATTCCTAAGAGTGACTAAGACAGAATGTCTCCTTACAATTTCAATACAATAAATTATTAATTAGGGGATTACTAGTTGATCTAATACCAAATTCTCAGAACTAATATTATAAGAATTGTATTGCGGAATGAAAGGTTAATTAAATATTGGTGTAATAGTTACAGTCTGTAATCATTTTTTCCTCTCATGAAGTTAACTCATCTTCTGTACTATAGACCTTGAAGTCTTACTTAAAATTATTTATCATGGGTCAGTGAGGTATCCTAATATCATATAAGGGAAAAAAAGTTCAAATAATGGATCAGTGAAGGAAATAATGATTTAGATTCAGTAATTACTACTTATCAATAGTGAAATAAAAATTCCTCATTTTCAGGTTTTATATAATCCTTTTGATGACATAGTTCCAAGGCAAAGAAAAGAGGAGGTGAAAACAAAACCTGAGGAAGAAAAAAAGAAAAAAGTCAAAGGAACAAAGTAGGTGCCACTGCAGCTTTTCTCTTCTTGTTCTTTTTATGTGTTAATATATATTTACATGTAGTATTTTTTAAATGCCTCAACATAGACCAAACTAATAGACTGAACCCAAGTTTTTGAATCAGTTAGTATAATTACATCTTACATATAATTGCCTTTGATAATCAGTAAGGGAGATTTAGAACTAATTAAAAAGAGATTGCTTTTAGGTAATGTTGTGATAACATCAAAATATGATATTTTGTCACCACAGGTTTTGTTTACTTCAAATTTGATTTCTTGTAGAAACTTTAGCTTATTGTCATTCGGGGAAGAGGCAGAAGAAGATGAATCAACAGTAGCTTCAGTTTCAAAGGTCAGATTATAATAGTTATTTTATTAAATGGTTACCAGAATTCCTCTCGTTAGTATGGATTAGTACTTTACACCCTAACAACAGAATGCATATTCTCCATAGTGTTCTCTGTACATTTCCTCAGGTGCTTACAAGGAAAATTTGCTTAACAATCAAGAGCTACTTTAGTTGGTGATCATTTCCTTTATTCTTGTGACCTTTAAGTGTGATTTAGGGGTGATATTGTAAGGAGAAACCAGATGCTAATCACAATTAGGGGCCAGAGGATAAAGAGAAATTTGTAATAATTACATCACACTCTATTACTACTTTCAGTTGACAAATTTTGTTTTCTGTTTTCCATTGTTTCACCTCATTTTATTTTCTGTGAGAATATTGTCATTTTAAGGAGACTCTAGATTTTGACCACTCCAGGCTAGTAAAGTGAAACACTCACTTATTAGTAGTTAACCCTTTAACTCTCATGAGTGACCAAGACTGAATTTCTCCTTACAATATTGATACAATATCAATCAGATAAGTGATGAGAAAAAAGAAAAGTATAAATTTGGGGATAATTACCGGTAGTTGATACTGGCAATTTACTAAATTCTCTGAACTAACTTTAAAAGAATTGTATGACTGACAGTAACAAGAATTACAAATTTGATCTGAGAGTTAAAAGGTTAATTCCCAGCTAGTAGAGCAGTTTTCAATTGAGCGTCCAAAAGCCAAAACCAAGGTAATCCCAGTGACCAAGCAGAAAATTAGCCAATGAAAACTCAGTGAAAACAAGCAAACTGCTTGAAGCATGTGAATGACTAAATCATGATTGTTTTTACTTTGAGAAGATGGTACAAGTTTTCTGGACCAATCACAGAAGCAAAGTTGAGTGAAACCCAAAGAAATCCTAGATTTCTTCCGACACTCAATTGAAAAAGCTCTATCTTATAAGGAAGATAACCTTTTAAAGCAAATTTTAAAAAGCTGAAATTTCTGAGGTAGCTCTTCAGAGCAAAGAAACTCAAAAGGCATATGAAGTGCTAATACAGGGATTTCAATAACTGTTTCCATAAGTGACTGCTAATAGTGTACTGGGTGGCTGTGCCCCAGAAAAAGGGCTGTAAGGCAACACCCAAACATGAACCTACTTGCAGGCTATACAGACAGTGGTGAGAGGTCCTACAAGTGGTGATAAACCTCTGGTAACTTGCTTTTATTGAAACTCCCAGCTAAGGGGCAGAAATGGGATTATCAAAATTCCCCATGGTATATGTTTACTGCAAGATTATCAATTGTAGTAGGGGGTTTCACTTGCCAAATGACGTAGCACTGGTTTCTATAAAAACTCACAACTTTGAGGAGGGAGTCCATCTTACCCATTGGTTTGCTTCCTCCGAAGTTGATTATTATTACAACTGATTTGAATTTACTTTCTTTTTTCTATTATTTCAGACATTAAAGATGAAAAGCAGTCATGATTTGTTGAATGATCCAAAACTGAGTAAACAACCTGCTGTTGAAAATACAATTTCTTCAGTAAAGGTATCATTGATATATGTCTGCAAATATCCTGCAATTTTTAGAGGATAATTAATAATTGACACTTGAAAGTATTACATGTATTTATTCTGCTCTTCACACCATGTCTGGCAATTTTGTTGTTTGCATGTTAGCAGTCACCTTGAATCAACCCATGTCCAAAATGCTGTAAAGCTCTTACTCTGACAAGGGGCTGACATTCAAAACATCAGCTATAGAAACTCTGTATGGTGGCCAAATTACATCATCAAATCAGTTGATAAAACCAAATTATCTCATATTACCCGCACCACCTCAGCACCACAGTTTCTCTAAAAGCTTACCCCCTTTATTCATGTCCAAAATTCTCCACCCACCACATGCCACTCACCCTCTGGGGGATTCTACTTTCCTATTACTTGTTATAGAACTCATTGTTGTTTTGTGGTCTTCTTGAACTTTTGAGTGACCCTGATTTTTCTGAAGGAAAGTAGAATGATTTTTCAAAAGATGCAAAGGTGATTATTTAAGAAATAACGAACCTTTCCCCACTAATTAATTACAGAAATTCTTAATTAATGAACAAGCATCCCGACTTTTTTAGAAAAAGGAGAAATCCAATAGTAAAGGCCTAGATGATGACAGTGATGAGGAGGTATGTATTTTAGGTTTGGTTGTTCTGTATAACTCATTTTAAACACTTTGTAGAATAGATAGTTACTGGACAATTTATCCTCCTAATCGAATCTCTGAACAATGTCAGTATCTAAGCAACTGTGCACCTACCCCTCCCCTAACCCAACAAGAGTCAACTGATAACAAGGTAGGGGTAATGTTGGGTAAGGGAGGGGTAGGTGCACATTTGTTAAGGTACTAACATTGATCACAAATCTTCTTGTCGTTCTGATATACGGTACACTCTGTTAACCATTTTGTTATTACTGTTGCCTAATTAATTGTTGGTATTCATTTTCAATTCAAGACCCCAAGGAGTGACGTCCTCATTTTTTTCCCTTCAGTGAACATATTTTGACTTATTTTGGCTGTTGACTTATTCAACAGCACTTCATTCCAGCAGTGAAAGATTGAGGGGGATGATTGAATCATTTTTAATATGATTGTTTATGCCTATAGAATACCGATGGACGGGATTTTGACGCAGATATGCGAGACAAGGTGCGAAATAAACTGAAGAAAAGGAAAGCAGAGGAAGATGAGGATGATAGTGATAGAAAGAAAACAAAAGAACGATTAGAAACCAGGTTAGTAAACAAAAAGGGTCGTCACTACTTGACTCTGGGCTCTTTTATAGGCAAATGAAAAAATACTGAGTCTGACATGAAACAGCTGCCCAGAGTTATTGACACTTTAACGCCTAAGAGTGACTGACATCTTATTTCTCCTTACAAGATCACCCCTGATTAAATCATTAAGTTCGTGAGAATAAGGGAAATGATCATCTACAAAATTCTCAGAGCTAGACCCCTTGCAGACCTCTCATGGGTTCGCGTAGCTCAAGGCTTCATAATTTCCCGCAAGTGAAGGAACCTTTGTGCCCGAGCCCTTATAATGAGGCAATTTAGTGTTAACAACTGAGTTGAAATTGTAATCGTAAATTGACCAACGTAAAGAGTCTAAAGGCTGCTCTTGTAATGAGGGCGTCCCTGTAGGTGATGCCCATAGTTATTAATCATGTTGAATAGTTCGGTGGCTGAAAAATGCCCATTATTCCTGCCTTTAACTAGCGTCACACGTTTTTCTTCTTTTGCGTACAAGAGGCGAGCGCGAAACGAGTGTTATGCTCAAGGGCAGGAACGAACACAAAACAATAGCTATACTTTTTGCGTTCTTTTAACTCTCTTGCTAGCAAAGAAGAAGAGGAACCGCAATCCAAGATTTCTTCCTCCCGTGCTGAATATAAAAGACTGAAGCGAGAACTGATGGAGTCAAAAACTGAGAAAACTGAAAAAGAAGAAAGTTCCACTGGTATGAACACTTGTATGAGCATTTACAAATTTTCTGAAGACGATTGGCAATTTTCTCCTGGCTCGTGCGTAGCCAGTGCCAGTCTAGGCGGGCAAAAAAAATTCATAATTAAAGATAAAAAAAAAAACAACGATATACTTGACGATCAGACATAACGGAAAGGGAAAAATGACATTTGAGATAGTCTATAAGATAGAAAAGGAGGGAAAGAATGAGAGCAGATTTTACACGTCAAATTAAGACCATTCGAAGTTTTTTTTTCCTTTTACCTCATTGTTTCTTCGCGAAAATAAACCTCGTGATTTCTACTAGATTTCTGCGTTTAGAAAATAAAGTCTGTCGTGGTTGTTCTCTTATCGGCTTCCCTCTTAAGTAGCGGCTCTTCTTTCGGCCCCTATTTCGGAAAGATACGAAGATACAAACACACCAAAAAAATTAAAGAAAAACTTTACGTTACACATTTTACAAGCTGCCACTTAGCATCAATAGACTCACTTCTTCTGCTCAAGGCAACTAAAATTTAAACATGGCCAGTCTCCGAAATGTTAGTAATCATAGTACGGTGCACAATCGGCTTCTTGATTTAACTCTGTTATAAAGCACAAGACAGTGAATTCATGCGATGAAATTTAAGAAGGCGTAAGGAGAAGTCTGAAATATAAAGATTCTTTATTACCCTCGAATAAAGCTTCTCTCGGGTCAATTCTCCATTAATAATCAGCCAAGCACTGGTGGTTCAGTGGTAGAATTCTCGCCTGCCACGCGGGAGGCCCGGGTTCGATTCCCGGCCAGTGCAGCGCGGTAATTTTGTTTTTTAAAATTTATTATTTTTTTTATAGCTTTGCTATTTTAATGAGTTTCTTTACAAAGCTAGTTTACAGATGGAGAAGGCATGCCAGTGAAAACATCCATCCTATGAAAATGTCAAAACGGGACAAAGAATCAGAATAAATTACACCTATGTTGTTAGAGGGGGAACTTTTACGCCTCATTAAGCGTAAAATCAACGAGCCCCTATAAAATGATTTTTTTGTCATTTTAATTTTGATTTTTGATAGAGACCAAAGAATCCGATGTCTTGGCCGCTTTCCATGCTGAGCAAAAAACGTATCTTGAAAAAAAGAAAACGAGCCAGAAAAGAAAAGGAGAAGGGAGAGATGAACAGGTATTATATCACGAAATGAATACACAACGAAGCCAACAGCACTGATAATAAATCAATAGTTTATTTTGGCTAACTGAGCACAATCACCACTAGGTTCAGAGGTTTCAATAGAGGCTGGTGTCCAGCGGTCTACCGCCGCCTACAGGGGTAGTAGTACCCCCTACAAGACTCTTACCGCCGTCTGTTGAGCCTGCGAGCAGGCCCTCGTGTTTTGGGTTTCGCCTTACAGCCCTTTTTCCGAGCACAGCCTCCCATTAAACCGACGGCATCCGCTTATGGAAAAGTTATTTTAACCTTTTGCAAGTTTCGCACTATCATCATTTGTCACTCGCTTTCGTCTTTCGTTAGTGTTTGGTTTAAGAGGAATAAAAGCGGCTGTTGGTAGTCTTAATTATTGGCTTTTTTAGACTTGTCCGATGACACCGATAATTTTGGTGTTTACTCCCATAAAGGTTGAAACTGGCTTAAGCAAATCCTTGTTGTATAGGAGCTGTGTTCTATTTGGTCCATCTTGAAAAATGTAGCCTAAATGTTTCAATGTTGTCATCCGTATTCATCTCTTCCTTCCGTAACAATTCTTGTTTCTTCATGGTGCTTTACTTCTTCTCTTGTGTCCTTCTGTCTCTCCGAACTAATATTTTGCGGTTTTGTTCGAGCTGAAGGTAGTTTTACATATTTTCAAATGTGATAAGACGAGTGTAACTATTTTTCTTTATTTGCAGACCCTTTCTCTTTTGGCGTCATTTGCATCCAAACTTGATAATGTTGAAGGAGAACAAGAGAGAGATGAAAACGAAGGAAAAGACATTGAAAAAGACGAAGAAAACCAAGATGATGACACTGGGTGGTAAGAGAACAAAAACACAAAACAAAACCGAAGAAGTCAACAACATAATACTTTGATTTGATCAATTGAGTTAATGATATAAATTGGCCACCAAAGAGAGTTTCTGAAGCTGACGTTTGGAGCGTTAGCTGTTCGTTATAGCGAAAGGCTAACGTTCTGACTAAGGGCTCTATAACGCTCTAAACGTTTTAGAAACTCTCATCCCGTGTCAGGATCTCTCCCATGTCAGTATCTGAACAAATGCACACCTACTCCACCCCTTACCAAACATTAACCCTAACTTGTTATCAGTTGACTATTGTTGGGTTAGGGGAGGGGAGGGGAGGGCGGGTGTGCAGTTGATTGGATATTGACATTGATCCATCATCTTTAACATGAGTTTGATTGGTGCCTTTGGTGTATTTTTCTAGGATGTTTCATTCGTTGAAGTGCGAAGCTGAGAGCAAACGAGCTCGGGATGCTTACATTGAAAACGAAGATACATATGAAATATTTGATCCACGAAATCCCATCAACAAAAGACGAAGAGAAGCGAGTAAAAAGGCAATGAAAGAGAAACGAAGGTAGCACCTTTAGAAAACCTCCTTGGACTACTTGTAAGTAAAACATTCCACGGGACAAGCGCCGGTTTTTGGTGATCCTTGTACCAATCGAAAACTGCCAAGCTTTCTCAGACATAACGCCGGTTTCGGACAATATCATTGGCTCAAGGTTACAACCAAAGAAGGCCTTTGTTCTTCAGTAGATGAAGAATGTTTCTTTTTGTTGGTGATGTTCAAATCACACGAGAGTGGCAAGTTGCAGCTTTTAAGAATAACTGCTCTGATTTATGACAGCGGTGGTCAAGATCGGCTGAAAATTGATTAATTTATGCTGAGAGATAAATAGTTTTCATGACAGTTTTGAATGGAAAACAATCGATGAAGAAATATCCACTGTGGAGAACACATAAACGGTTGTCTATTATATCACTGAATTCCAAGTTCCCCAATCCTTTAGGCTCTACAGTTTACATATGATATAACCTCAGTGGTCTGCATACATTGTCTTGCGACAATAATTGATATGTATTAAAGGTCTTACCGATCATTTAATTAATTTTCATGACCTTAACTAGTGATCCTATGCTAATATTTTAGGAGAAATTTGATTCTGATCATTCTTAGGACGTAAGAGCTTCTTTCCTCTTTCAAATATTGTGAAATATGGTTGAAGCTAAGCTAAAACGAAGTTTAACAACCATCTCGTGTATTTTTACTTTGCGTTAAGGTTAAAGTAATAAACAGCCAATAACGAACAGCTTACCCTCAAACAATAAGATTTAATACGAAGCAGATTAAGAACAGAGTTCGTCAAAACCTTTGACTGCGAAGGACGTGATTATTTTCCAGTCCTTGGTCTGCAAGTGACTTGTTGAGACCAATAACGTGCAAGGGAACTCGTGACTTGTTCAGACCAATAGCGTGCAAGCGAAAATATTAGATGGACTTTAAGATTTGGTGTTTTTTTTTAAGTTTGATACATTTCTAAAATAAATAAATAAAAAATGCTTTGGTGTAGAGCAGTTTTTCACGGCAAATCTGTCCCGCAAACTCCATTAGTGTTTATCTCTGCTCGCCGTTAGTCTCATTAGCGCTATAATCGGCAATTTCCTTATAGGTTAAGTTAATAATAATTGATTTTACATCCTTCTGCTCAAGATGTACATGCGTGGGCGAGTTAATTAGTTAAGCGGAAAGTGCCCGCAATATCCCTGCCAAAAGTCTTCTCAAATGAAGGCTATCGTTTGGATAAAGTTTTAGTTGACATGCTGGAAATAGTTGTTGTTCATACCTAGAGCTGTGAATTGGGCCATGAATATCTTTTTGATAGAGACCTCTGAGACCCAAATATGTTTTTTTTCATTTTGCTTCACAATTCACCACTCTTAACTCGATCCAAACTTTCCTAAGCAAGGAAGTAAACTATAATTCTAAGTGTTATGAGATTTTCCTTAAGACACTTCCACGTGACATTTAAGTTTACCCAAGAGAGATAATCTCCCTTTTTGAGTATTTTTCTCGTTGCTCAGTGTGTAGGTGTGTGAATTTGAAATTCTTAGATAGGAGTAATTTTATTCAACTTTCCGCCCACTTTGGCCGCGAAACAAAAAACCAACGACACATTTGTGTTGATAAATTTCCTTTTAGGCTCAAAGTAATTATTAAAGGAACAATGCCAATGAAACAAAGGAAATGATATTGAATAGCTTTCTAGGAGTTTAGTAACCATGGCCAAAATTATCAATGCAACTCAATTGAACAGAAGCTAATACACACAGGAACACAAATAGAGTCGCGTGCTTAAACAAAAGTGTCGGGCGATGAAACAAAGACGCACCAGCCACATTTTGTGTTTTATTGACTAAGTATAGTTGCTGTTTCTGTATTTCCTCTGAATATACCAGACAAACAATGTGCGCATGAAAGGGGTGATGACCTGGTAAAAGATTTTTTTTTTCTCGCGCAAGTTATTTTTAACCGTCTCAAAAATACAAAACAGCTGTTGTTTTCTTTTTCCAGCCGCCCGGAGAAACATTTCGCTTCTTTTAATCCTTTATAATAGCAGTAATTTCCGTTGCTTATCTTATATTTTTACATCTACTGCTCTTTTGTCGGAGGATAGTCAGTGAATTCTTACTCAAGCACAGATACATTGATACTCCGATGCAGTGTTGAATAAGATTTTGTTGAATTTTCTTGGGAGACAAACTCCGCCTTCGAAGATTTTACAATTTAGGTGAAGAAATATTGTATTTCGTTTGCGATAGGACATCGAGAAAATAAGAACGCAGCAATAATAACTATAAACCCTTGATATGCGTTAATGATGTCTAAGCTTTTTATTTACTTTAAATCCTTCAGTATTTCCTTCAAACAGCTGTATGTAAATATACTAGAGATTGTTTATAATACCTCGTTATTTTAATGGGTAGGTGTAGTGTTTTCTTTTTTCAAGCGGTTACCAGTGAAATATACCGCCTGTTGTACCTCTTATTACGCCTAAAATTGCTCGGAAATCTTGGAAATTCAACAGGTAAAAGGATTGCCATAGTGGTGTGAAAGTTATTTTCAACTGTCGTGCTTAAGATAAGGGGGGAACACAATGGGTGGAAAAAAAAAACGATAATACTGTATGCTCTCTCTTTGTAGAAATTGCAAGACATCAAAAAGTCGTTCGAGTTGGAAGTAGTTCAAGAGTTTGATATTTGCTTGAGGTTTTAGGTAAAGGCTGGATAGGATATACGGTTGTAATGAGACAGTACAGCGCGCAGTTTACTTGTCGTGTTCTTAAGATATTTCGGAAAAAAGTATGTTTATCTTTTGTAACGGACGCGTTCTAAGCCGGAACGAAAAAGCTTATCACCGGAGTAAATCCTATCTCTTTATTTCGCATACATTATTTAACTTCCTCGGTATTCCAGAATATAAAAAAAATCATTATTAGTGATCGTTTGGGTATTTTCCTCAAACCTCAGAGTGAAAATATCGTATAAAACAAATGTTCGTCGCTGGCAAAATTTTGTATTTAACATAGCTTGTAATGGCACTGATGGCTACCATTATGAGACCAATACAGAGAGTGAAATAGATAATGGGGTTAAGCTCTCTCATGTTAGTTACCCAAAACGCAGGGTTACTGTCAGTTTTCAAATGTATTCCAGCTGTTTGTAAAAGCAAGCGCGTTAGCTCATTTTTCACCGTTTTACCAGTTGTCAGCACCTCCCGTTTCATCGGCCATCCCACTCAATGAAGACGTGCACGTTCTCGGTCGCCTGGGGCGCTCTTCCGCCCGGCCCACAAACTACACATGTGTTAATAATTCTCTCTTGTTTGTTTGTATTAGACATTCAGTAAGGTTTTAGAATTCCTCCTGTTTGTTATTGAAAAGTTGTTATGGGGAATTTAACACCAAGGTGGAGGTTAATCGCAGCTATTTCCGTATCCTTCACGGTGATTTGCGGTTAGTTTTGTTCGCTGCGTTAACTTTTATTTTTGTTACAAAGTCTGATTTCATGTTGTTAGTTTGTTATTTTACGTGCAAACTGATTTCTGTTTTCCTTTTGTGAATATTCAAGTGTTAACCTCGACAAGTCTAAATAAACTGATTGCTTTTAGTGCATATTTCTTTTTAAATAGAAGTGCAGTTTGTTTAACGTAATGTTAATGGTGTATTAACGACTGAATGTGAGGTACGAATTTTTTTTTTGACTCCAAATCACAATAAACGTGTAGCCTCCTAGTGCAAGTATATCGTGATGTTTACCCGGACGAGAAGTTATATACAGAGACATTTTAGATAGATGGAAAGGTAAATGATCTAATTTTGCGACGTGAAAAGTTAACTTATATTTTCAAACTCACAGTAGGGGACGGGTGTGACAAAAAATTAGGTGTGGACACTGAAATGATAGATGAAAAACAATCGTTCCTAAAATAAGAGAAACTATTTCCCCTAAAGCGTCTTGAAAACAAACCGCAGCTATCGGCTCATCAGATTGCTGTAGATTGTGCATTGGCAATCCTTAGAGCTGTTACTATTGAGTATTTTCATGACGCAAGTGACCTTGCTGTCAAAAATGATCTTTGCTCTCAGAGATTTGTCCGTCCTTGATCTCTCATTAATTTAATGTTACTCAGTTTATCAGCTCAACAATCTCCGAATTAGACAGAAACATTACACTTGAATGAAGTACGTTGATGTTTTCAATGGTAGCCGATCTTTCATTGGCACGAAAGCAGATAACATAGCTTTCTTTGTTTGTGAAATTAGTCAGCGAATTATTTCTTAAGTGCACAAGTCTCCTCACTTAAAACCGTGAGCCACTAAAGCGCGTTTTCGCGCAACGCGTGAAAATTTGATTAACACCCTAGTTCGATTAATTTTTGCGCTATTTATTTACTTAAAAACCCCAAAATTACTAAAACAGAAGCGGAAATATATACTGATGATAGCACAATATGACAAGATCTTGATCAGAGAAAGTGTTTATTAATTAGAGCGCTCAGTTTCTTTAGATGGCAAATCTCTGGACAGATAAACATAATAGTTTTAGAGGGTTCAACATCCTAACGCATTACAAATAAAGAGACGATTTAACTCTTAAACAAACAAACTAGACACAACAGCGGGGAAAAAACTATTTACACAAGTTAAAGGATAACAGTAAACACGATTACAAAGAACAGCCTTAGAAATAATTACACTATTTACAATTCCAGTCTGCAACAATTCGTGGACAATGTTCCACTGAGGCCCTTATTTGTCAGATATTAGACTGATATCATCACATTAGACCGCAGTTAATACGGAAAATGTGAAATATCTGTGCGTGTTGTAAAATGTAGACATCTTCAGAGAAAGTTAATGCGCGTCAAATATCGATGGCGCGTTTGAGTCGATAACATTTGTTTCCATTCCTTCCATTAATGAAAGAGAACAGTTGGTTTGTCTTTTGCAGTGTAATTGTCCTTTTTCTCGTCTTTCTTCTTTGAGCTTTGTGTCAGAGACACATTCGCGTGAATCTTGATTCTGCTTGCTGTTGTCGCCCATGTCTTTGAGAAGATCGTCCAGAAATCGGATGTACTTCATAGCAAGTCTAAGGATTTCGTTCTTAGAGAGTTTCCTCTCTGGTGGATAAGTTGGAAGTAGTTTTCTTAGCTCACCAAACGCCAGATTAACGTGTTGTTGCCTCCACCGCTCTCTGCTGTTTGTGTAGAGTCGTTTCATGTACGACTGACAGTGATTGTGGTAGGAGAGTGTAAGTCTGTGTCCTGGCGGGTAAAACATTGCAGCTTGTGGCGATGGTGTCGGGCTTAAACTTGTTTCTGACCCGCTCGAGCTGCAGGCAGAGCCTTCAGGTGAATGTGCATATGGTTCGAGAGCTGTTCCTTCAAAATGCTGATAATCCATGTTCATGATTCGTCTCGCAAAGTAACTGTACTCTGTTACTAACACCAGCAGCTTTTATACACCACACGCGCGCACGGTCCGTCTGATCAATTTTCCTGTCTTTTGTCAAACGTGTTTTCAGCCTGCCTTCAATTTACCGATCAGCTTAATTGCTTTTCATTTACAATAGCTCACCGATAACCTTTTGCTCTGTGCTACCCCAGAACGTTCGGTGTACATCGAAGGCGGTGAGCAGCTCAAGCTCGTGTCGTGTTTCGTTTCCCGAGTTAGGAAATTGACCTTTCAAAGGACTTTCTATTTTGCGTAACGTAACACCTCTATAGACCAATCCGCACGCGGATAGCTCACTTATGTGGCATGGTGTCAAATTGTTTTTTAAGACAGTTGTTAGTAGTCGTTTAGTGAGTAATGTCTTTGTTGTGTGGTCTTAATGATGTCTCATGTCTGACAGTAGACTCTTCAATTCTAAAACGAAACAGATCTTTCTTTTTTTTATATCGAGGAATTTCGCATGAAATCACTTTCATTCACGTTTCAAGTTTCGGCTCATAACTTTCTAGCGTCACACGGCCTACAGCAGACCTACCTTGGGCTGCGTTTTATTAACCAATCAAAAGCAGAATTGTTTGACTTGCCTCGGTCGTCTGCAAAGCAAACAATTTACGACACAAAAGATGTCGGGTTTGTGTGTACGGTCCGTTTTGATCACGCTCGTTCCACACAATGTAGCGTGTTGTTTCAAGTCCTTAGTGATAATGAGGTATATCGTTTACTAGTAGGAAGGATAACAGAACTCGTGGGATTATTCTCACCGTTTGAAGAGATTTTCATGCTTGAACCAGCAGGACTCGAGTGTTTTTCTTAATTCGTGGTGGGATGTTGAAAATCCCGGCAATGACATACATAAACCATTCACAAACTCTAAATGACGTGTTCTATTAACGTGTCAAAGGAGCAAGGAATGCGCGTTTTGAATGATACCGTTTCCTCTACAGGAGTGCCGGCCAAGTCTTCCTATGTGACGCAATAAACATTTTTTTCTCAATAATGTCTGCCGGATTATTTTGAAATTGTCGATTTTCCTGTGTAAAAGAAGTGAAGTTTCCTTTTTTTCCCATCAATCCTATTTAGGCAATATACCTTTGCCCTATTTGTGTTGATCAACATTTGTTATGTTCAGTGTTACCAAACTATCCGGAAATATTAAAGAATTCACTGAGTTGTGGGATCCATATCGTTCCGTGTTTGCGGCCGGCTCTCTAATAAGCTTTTAATTTTTTTGTGTTACTCTTTTGAAGCTTAGCGGTATTGTTTTTCTCAGAAATATAATCACCTCTTTATTTTTAACATTCGTAAGATATTGGTAGTGGAAGAAAGGAAACTATCGTTTAAGGATCTGGTGAACAAAATTCGGCCTACAATTAGCCATACAGGTAGGTATGAAGGCAGTCTTGATACTGAAGAAATCTCCTATTTGACCTCTTTGAAACAATATATCTTCATTGAAATGGAAGGTAGAGTTCTTTCGTGAAACACACACGCTGGTTAAACGGCGGTTTTGTCTGTTGAGGTTTTTTTTAGAATGTCGGAAACTTCAACAAAAAGATTTACAGTTTGTTGAAGTATTTTGACGAACAAGATTTGCGGTTTGTAAAATTCATTATGATGTGGCAAATTGTGTCTCTCTATAACTGGATTAAATCGGTTTCTAAGGTATCCAGCTGGAATATTTCTTGCCTCGTTATGGAAGGAGTGTTTATTGCGTGTACTGAGCGCCAAAAAAACTCTCATTATTTTATTCACAGACTGCTTTAAAAAGAAAGGTCTTTGACGAACAAGAAATTAGCATGAATCCTCGCCATCATTCAATTTAAAGCTGTAGCGCCTTGTTTTGTTCCGCATTAATAATTCAAAAGTAAAATAAAAATTCAGTAACCCCTAATTATGTGTTCTACTCTCGCCTGTTTCTACCCTTCAAGACAATTTTTTCGATAGTGTGATTTTTATAATTATTCCAATCCTCCTCCTAGTATGGTTTGCTTGAATGGTGCATGGACAGAATAATTTTAGTGTGAAGTTTATATGGTCTAAGTTGCCACAAATGTCAATGGTTTGCCTTTAGACGACATATGTAAAATTAATAGTTGATTATTTCACAATGATGTGTTAATTCGAGAATTTGTAACGTAGTGTTGTAGATCAGCGAACACTGACTAGGGAAATTCGAGTCTGGCAGCTTCAGAAAACGGTTGTTTTACTATAGGTATCTTAAAACCATAAGAAACCAAGACATAACGATACATCTTTGCCCCATAATAGACTGTTAATGGTCCTGCTAAAAATCTGGTATCCAGAAGTTATGGGTTGAACTAGCTATTTATTCACGTAATTAAATTGGGCCATGTTTAAAAAAAGACTTGAATTAACGAAAAGCTCAATTGCAATCATATTTTTTTCATCATCATGGTACTGATGCTATTCAGTCATTGTTGTTGTTGTTTTTTTTTTATTAATATATTTTATTTTTGTTATGTTAAAAAAAAGTTACTTCGTGCAGTTAGTGAAGAAAGGGCAACGATAGTCTTGATTGCGTGCGGGGTTTGCGCGTGCGTGATTATGAGATTGGGAAGTAAATGTAGCTCAGAAGTTTCAACATTTCTTTCCAAGAAATAACATAAACCTCTGTGTTGAAGTCGCTCGCTGAGCAGGAAAGTATTGTGGAGGTCTCAAATTGTAGTCCACGCTTTTATATCCTCACACCTTGATTACTGTAACGCACTTCTCTGCGGTCTACCTTAATATCAAATCGATCGCTTACAGAAAGTTCAGAATGCTGCGGCTAAGGTGATTTTTCAGATTCCAAAATTTGACCATATCACACCTGCACTTATCGATCTACACTGGCTCCCAGTAACGTTCAGAGTTCAGTTTAAATTGCTCCTCTTTGTTTACAAGTCCTTACACAACCAAAGTCCTCCCTACATTAAAGATCTTTTGTCCCTGAGACCAGCTACTAATTATGCTCTTCGCTCGTCTGCTCAATCTCTTCTGTTCGTTCCAAAAGCCAACTGCTCTTCACTTGGGGATCGGGCCTTTGCTCATGCAGCACCTGTTTTATGGAACTCGCTGCCATTAACTATAAGAACAAGTAGTAGCCTCACCATTTTTAAAAACCACTTAAAACATTTCTATTTAGGAAAGCTTTCAGTTTGTTTCAATAGTTCTAATGTTTATTGCCTTTGAATATTTTAATCTTAATTAGGATAGAACTTTAACGTATGTAAAGCGCTTCTGAATATTGTTTATAGTTTTAGCGCTATATATATCCCTTATCATTATCATTACGAGATAGTGGTGTTCTCTTTCTTCTTAAAAAGAAATATAATGGTCTATTTCCTGTCATACAATGGAAGTATTAACCGTCATTGCATGCCACTGATTCAAGTGAATACACACCCACTTACCTAATATTCTTGGTAGGATATTATTTCTCCCTCAGACGATATTTGTCGATTGAGGCTATTTGATGCTGTTATTTTGTTACAGACAGTTTTGTTAGATCCAGTGAGGTTTCATTGTTCAGCTGTTTTCTTCATTAGTTGCATGCCTGCCAGTATTAAGCAGTTTAATAGCCGACCACACCCGTCGGCTAATATGTCACATTTTGAGCTTTTTCTGATTCTTGTTAATTTACAGCTTCGTGTGTTGAGATGACAATTCACTGTTGAATGTTTCTAATATTTCCAAGGCGCGGTAGACCCTTTTTTAATTGATATCTCTTATTAAGTCGGTTTTGGTCTGCGGTTTTGCACGAACATACTTTTTTCTTAACGCAGTTATGTTATTAATTATTTTTTTGTTCTCAAAATAACCTGCATCGAAAGGATGTCTAGATTGAGTTTTCTGTTTTTATACACTGGAAAGTTTTATGTATACACAGATTCGAGTTGAAAATTAGCCTCTACATTATTTTCCATGGTGTCTTAACCCTGAATCATCGCTCATTTTATCAACTATATTAGCGCCCTTCTCAAAAACTTTGAGGCTGAGAAGAAGCTAGTGGATAACGAATTATTGTAATGATTACAAATAGAGCCCAAAATCATGTGAATAGTGCGTTGTTGTCACTTCTAAAGGTTTTTTTATGAAACCGTTTTGGCCGTCACGCATGCCAAATATTTCGTGACAATCAATCAATGGTTACTATGGAGAGAGAGAACTAGTAACTCAACCCAAAATTTTACTTGTTCGTTCTTTTGTCAATTTGAATATTATGTCATGTGGTTTCTTCGGCGGTGAATTCTGAGGTTTCAATGCTAAAATCAGTGCTTCCTGTTTCCAAAAAAAAAAAAAATGAAAACACAAATCATCGAACACACAACGGATGTTAGGGATTTTCACCTCTTAGTGCTGAGGTTTTAAGCTTCCTTATGTTCGCATCTAACAAAAACCCGAGCGAAATAAGTTAATTTTAAGGATTCCTTAAGTGTCTTAACACCTGTTAATGAAAGTTTGCTGATGTGGAAAGTAGCATGATACATAGGCGGCTCACGATCCTAATAGAGAGAACCCACTCACAATGAATTTAACCCTTTAACTCCCAAGATCTGATTGTTAATTCTCCCCTCTTGCTGCGAGACGATTCCTTGTAAATTAGATGCGAGAATTTGGTGAAAGATCAAGCTAACTTCTATCTGATAAGTTTGAGTATCCTCATTAATCGTTTGCTAAAAATAGCTAGTGTGGAAACTATAGAGCGAAGTTACATGTTGGTCACTTCTGGGAGTTAAAGGGTTAACGGACTCTTAACAAATGGCCCATAAAATTTTGGGGAATTATTCCTGTCGATAGTAAATTTTAGGTTTACAATGTTCAAAAAGGAAACAAATGTTATCAGAAACAAATTTTACTCACGTTCCTTTGGTAATTGATATTGTTTTCCGTTGTTTTGGAGTTTATTTGTCATTCAATAAAAAACCAACCGCGGAACTGGGTAAACGGAATTCATGGATGACTACAATTGCTGAAGAAGGAAATCCTGGATATGGTTGGTTTTGTTTCCCTGTGCTTTCTGATTGGCAAAGAAACTTGTACTACGCAAAAAAATTAAATTCAAAACTGAAATTAGTCACACCTTGGTCACTTGCATTTTCCCGCGCTTTTAGCTGTTTGGTTGTTTTTACTTTGAGTTCTCATTGGCTACTTGTGATATTTTCCTTCGTTCTGATTGGCCGTGAGGATAATTTTGGTTTTTTGTTCCATGACACCCAATCGGAAGAGCTCCCAGTAATCCATCAAAGTCAGTTTAGAAGTTTACATGATAAATTCCTAGGATGTTTTTAGGGGTATTTTTAACGATCTGTTTCTCGATTATCCTTCACTTTCGGTTAATATTAGCCAACGGAGGTGTTTGATGTTTAAACTCCTCGTCAATCATAAATGTCAGTTGCAAGGAAGTTCAAGATGAAATATGGCGTCTGATTTGACTTTGGATCTAGCAGGAGTGGGGTGGGGTGTTTTGTAGTGGAGTGGAGTGGGGTGTTTTGTAGTGGAGTGGAGTGGGGTGTTTTGTAGTGGAGTGAGGTGGGGTGGGGTGTATGGTATTGGAATGATTGCGTAACTTTGCTTTAAAAAGTTGTCTTAAAAACAGTACTGATTTTTCACGTCTTGATCACAGAGCAGTTACAGAGCTTATTTCGTGCAGTTGAACACGGATGCTCTCTTGTATTTGTGAGCTGTTAAATAAATGGTTTGAACCCAGCTTTTTTTTGTTTAAGTTGTTAAAGATTTCTTACATGGCTGTTGTCATGGTAATCCATACTTTTAAGAGTTTTCGTTAAGCGACGTTTTCTCCCGGTACGTTTTTCCAATTTGCATTTCTTAGGAAAGCAAAGTAAAAATAGTAGGAAAATGTGTTTTTCCACTTATATGTTTCCTCTTTTTGTTAACCATTCCATACATTCTTAGATCTTTTAACTAATGAAAGATATGGCTTCATAATGGAATGATTTCACAGAGCTAAATTTCTGGGTGGTTTGCGTAAAACCAGTGGTTAAAGTTGTGTAATAATTCCTCCTCCATCGCATAAGGATCAGAACATTTTA